GTCTTATTTTTGGATAGTCTTTCTTCATTACGAAGCCCTTCTTAAGTTTATTTTACTACTTTCAATAATCCCCACTGTCTTAATTATCTGGTGCTGCTCCAACAGAAATACCACAAGTGCATGGTTTTAACAAAGAGAAGTTCATTCTCTCACAGTCCAGTAGGCTACAAGTACAAACTCAGGACGTCAGCTCCAGGGGAACGCTTTCTCTCTTTCTCGGCTCTGGAGGAAGGTTCTTGTGATGCATCAGTCTTCCTTTGGTCTGGGAGCATCTCAGCGCAGGAACCTCAGGTCCAAAGGACACGCTCTGCTCCCGGTACTGCTTTCTTGGTGGTATGAGGTTCCCATGTGTCTCTGCTCGCTTCTCTCTTTTATATCTCAAAAGAGAGTGGATTAAGACACCATCTAATCTTGTAAACCTCATCAGCATAACATCATCACAGTGATAGAATTTACAACACATAAAGAGATCACATATAACCTCATCATAGTGATAGAGTTTACAACACATAAGGAAATCACATCAGATTACACAATCATACGATACTGGGAATCATGACCCAGTCAAGCTGACAGGCATTTTTGGGGGATACAATTCAATCCATGACACCCACTAACTCTTGGAAGTAAAATGCATTTGTTAGACTAGCGCAATTAGTAGCTACTGCTGGTAACTTAACTGATTTTTGGATTTGCCACTGCTCCTCTAAGCCTATGACTGGAAACTCAGACCCACTGGTGTTACTTCTGTTAATTTCTGTTAATTTCAGTGGAACTATTGTTAAACTATTGTCATTCAAAAGCGGCTGCAGCAGTATATCAACAGGGAGCGGTCAGAAATTCACGCTGGATTCAGAAGAGGACCTGGCACAAGGAATATCACTGTTGATGTAGATAGATCTCGGCTGAAAGCAGAGAATACCAGAAAGATGTTTACCTGTGTTTTATTGACTATGTTAGGCATTCAACTGTGTGGATCAAACAAATTATGGATAACACTGCAAAGAATGAGAATTCCAGAACACTTAATTGTGCTCATGAGGAACCTGTAAATAGACCAAGAGGTAGTTATTCAAACAGAACAAGGGGATACTGCATAGTACAAAATCAGGAAAGGTGTGCCTCAGGGTTGTATGTTTTCACCATACTTATTCAATGTGTATGCTGAACAAATAATCCAAGAATCTGGACTATATGAAGAAGAACAGGGCATCAGGATTGGAGGAAGACTCATTAACAACCTGCATTATGCAGATGACACAACCTTGCTTGCTGAAACTGAACAGGACTTGAAACACTTACTGATAAAGATCAACGACCACAGCCTTCAGTATGGATTACACTTCGACATAAAGAAAACAAAAATCTTCACAACTGGACCAATAAGCAGCACCATGATAAACGGAGAAAAGATCGAAGTTGTCAAAGATTTCATTTTACTTGGATCCGCAATCAACACCCATGGAAGCAGCAGTCAAGAAATCAAACAACGTATTGCATTGGGCAAATCTGTTGCAAAAGACCTCTTTAAAGTGTTAAAAAGCAAAGATGTCATTTTAAGGACTAAGGTGTGCCTGACCCAAGCCACGGTGTTTTCAATCGCCTCATATGCATGCCAAAGCTGGACAATGAATAAGGAAGACTGAAGAATTGATACCTTTGAATTATGGTTTCAGCAAAGAATACTGAATATACCATGGACTGCCAGAAGAATGAACAAATCTGTCTTGAAAGAAGTACAGCCAGAATGCTCCTTAGAAGCATTCTTCATCTCACATACTTTGGGCAGGTTATTAGGGGGGACCATTTGCTGGAGAAGGATATCATGCTTGGTAGAGGGTCAATGAAAAAGAGGAAGACCCTCAACGAGATGGACTGACATGGTGGCTGCAATAATGAACTCAAGGATAACAACGACTGTGAGGATGGTGCAGGACCGGGGTAGCTGTTGTTGGAATTCATTCTGTTGTCCATGGGGTCGCTATGAGTTGGAGTCGACTCGACAGCACCTAACAACAACAACTTGCTTATGGTTATCGGAAAGAATGTTCATGAAGATGCTTTAGATAATTGTTAGGGGAAACTGATCGTGTGAGTTGGCTCCAGGAAGTCTATGTTAGAAAACAGATCAGCTTACAGTGTAAAACTTTAACTTGTGATTGTCTTGTGACCCTTTTGCAACCCCAGACCTAAATGACTGTGGTCACGTACACCCTTCCACATTTTACTGAATAAAAGGCCCATCTGTCTTCCAATGAATTGTAATACTCTGTGAAACCCTCAAAAATGTGTTCCCCAGCTCGAGCTGTTATATTCCCTCAATAAACTGTTTGCTTTCATTTCTTACAGAGTGTGAAATTTCTCCTGTGCTTTGACAATAATATTAAGTAGAAAAAGTAGTACAAAAACTATATACACATCTGGTTTCTACTTCAAGACAGGATGGAAGAAGATAAAATAGACTACCTCTTCCACTGCAACAATTTTTTTTAAACCTGGATAAAAAAATATGTTTATAAAGACACTGGAGACAAATATTACAACAGATAAATAGTGGCACTATTGTCAAATGGATAATATGTATCAGACTATGCATCCCCCTAGACTATTAGATCAACTTCAGATATCCTGTTTCAATCTGACCAAAAAACTGTATGGTTGACCTAGATACTATACCACACCCACAGATTATTCCCCTTGTATCAGTGATCCTGATAGAGATCATGGAAGCAAAAAAGATTAAAAGAACTAAACCAGAGAGCAATTCAGGAGAACAGGCTCTTTCCTGGTGCTTTCTTACCTGGGGCATTTGCTGATCATGTGCATGGGCTGAGGATTGAGCTTGGCTCAAATGGAATGACAACATTTGGGGAAAATAAATCAGGACAAATTTTTGGAGGTTGTGTGGGGATGGTTCCCAGTTACATGAAATACCTAGAATACGTAAGTGTACAGAGACCAAAAGGCACCCTAGTGGTGCAATGGTTAAGGGCTCAGCTGCTAGTCTAAAGGTCAGTGATTCAAATACACCAGCCTTTCCATGGGAGAAAAGATGTGTTGATCTGCTCCCATAAAGATTACAGTCTAGAAAACCCTAAGGGGGTACTTCTACTCTGTCATATAGGGTCACTATGAGTCGGAATTGACTTGATGGCACACAACAATAACATAGAGACCAAAGTTCATTAGTGGTTGCCAGGGGTATGAGGAGATTGGGGGGAGCAATTGCTTAGGGGACACCAAGCTGCTGTTAAGGGTGATGAAAAAACTTGGAAACGGATAATGATGATTATTAAATGACATGATGAACATAATTAATGTCACTGAATCGTACATGTCAAGAATGCTAAAATGATAAATGTTTTGTTACATATATATTTACCACAATAAAAATTATTTAAAAAAGTAGAATAAAGAACATAAATCAACGATCCAGAAATGAAATGTACAATAGAAGCAATCAACAAAGTCAAAGTCGGTTATTTGAAAAGATTAATAAAACTGATAAGTCGTTAACAAAAATATTCAGGAAAAAATAAATTAACAATTATGAGAAAATTTTAAAAAGAAGGTATCACTACACATCCTTTCAGACACTAAAATAACAAATAATACTGTGAACAGTAGGTTAATAAATTTTACAACTTAAGATGAAATGGACAAGTTCCTAAGAAACCCAACTCATCAAAACTGAAAAAATAGAAAATGTGAACGGTCCCTACATCAGATAAGGAAATTGAATCTGTAATTTTTAAAGTCTCCCCAGGCTCAGAAGGCTTCATTGTTGAATTTAGCTAAGCATTACTTTACCTATAAACCTGTTGCTGTTGAGTCTATTCTGACTCATAGTGACCCTATAGGACAAAGCAGAACTGCCCCATTGAGTTTCCAAGGAGCACCTGGTCGAATGGAACTGCTAGGTATTACTACACCCACACACATAAAAGTTACACATATATACACACATATATATGTACAGTGAAGCTTGTGAGAGAGGTAACTTGACAGGGGAAAGCAACTTAGTGTTTAATACACACACACACACACACACACGGAATATTTTCCATCTAGTTTTATGAGGTTAATATAACTCTGATAGCAAATTCTGATAAGAATACTACAAGAAAATATAATTACAGATTATAAATATGATGCAAAAATTCTAAAACAAAGAATTATCAAATCAAATCCAGCAAGTGGGATTTATTCCAAGAAAGCAAGGCTAATTTCACACTTAAAAATGAATCAATCTTAACATCGTACTTAATGGTGAAAGACTGAATGCTTTCCCCCTAAGATCAGGAACAACACAAGGATGTCCACTCTCCCCACTTCTATCCAATATTGTAATGGAGGTTCTAGCTAGGGCAATTAATTAAGAAAATGAAATTTAAAAGGCATCCAGATTAGAAAAGAAGAAGTAAAACTATCTCTATTTGCAGATGATGTAATCTTGCATATAGAAAATCATAAGGAATCCACTCAAAACACAATTACAACTAATAAGAGAGTTCAGCAAGGATGCACAATACCAGATCAATAAACAAAAATCAACTGTATTTCTATACACTAGCAATGAGCAACCCAAAAATGAAATTAAGAAAACAATTCCATTTACGAAAGTATGAAAAAGAATTATAATATAGTAAGGAATAAATTTAACAAAAAAGGTACACGACTTGTATACTGAAAACTACAAATCATCATTGAAAGACATTAAAAACCTAAATAAACTGAATGACATTCCATGTTTATGGATCAGAAGACTTAATACTGTTAAGATGGTACTACTCCCCCCAAACGATCTACAAGTTCAACACAATCCCTACCAAAATTGTAGCTGCATTTTTTGCAGAAACTGACAAGCTGATCCTAAAATTCATATGGGATTGTAAAGAACCCAGAATAGCCAAAACAGTCCTGAAAAAGAAGAATACAGAGGACTCACACTTTCCAATTTTAAACCATTCTTCAAAGCTATAGTAATCAAGACTGTGTGGTACTGGCATAAGGATAGACATATTAATGAATGAAACAGAATTGTGAGTGTAGAAATAAACCCTCACATTTATGGTCAATTGATTTTTGACAAGGGTGCCACAATAATTCAATGGAGGAAAAAATAGTCTCTAGGGTGCTGAGACAACTAGATATCCACATGCAAAAGAATAAAGTTGGACACCTATTTCACACCATATACAAAACCAGCTCAAAATGGATCAAAGACCTAAATGTAAGAGGGAAAACTATAAAACTCTTAGAAGAAAACACAGACATAAATCTTCATGATCTTGGATTTGGCAATGGTTTTTTAAAGTATGACACCAAAAACACAAGCAATAAAAGAAAAACTAGGTAAACGATCTTCATCAACACTACATCAAAAGACACTATCAAACAGGTGAAAAGACAACCCAGAGAATTGAAGGAAATATTTGCAAATCATATAACTCAATAATAAAAAGACAACCCAATTTAAAGAGTGGGCACAGGATCTGAATAGACATTTCTCCAAAGCACATATAGAAATGGGCAATGAGCACATGAAAAGGTGCTCAACATCATTAACCATGGGGAAATGCAAATCAAGACCACAATAAGATATTACTTCATATCCACTAGAATGGATATAATCAAAAAGACATAATAAGTGTTGGTGAGGATGTGGAGAAATTGGCAACTTTATAGGTGGTAATGTAAAACGGTGTAGCCTCTTGGGAAAACAGGAGACAGTTCCTAAAAAGGTTAAACAGTTACCATATGACCCAGAATTCCACTCCTAGGTGGAATGAAACATGAAAACACACCTGTACGTATGTCAATGTTCAAGAACGTTCACAGCCTCTTTATTTGTCATAGCCAAACACTGAAGAGAAACAAAATAAAAATTAAATGTCCATCAATAAGAAATTGGATATATTTTATCATAGCAATAAAAATAAAGAATATATGTGACAACATGCATAAATTTCACAAATGTTATGTTGACCCTGATCCGAAGGAATATATATGATTCCAAGTATTTGAATTTTAAAAAGAGGTAGAACTAATCTATGGTGATAGAGAAGTCAGAATAATAGTTACCTCTGGGTGGGGTTGGGGTCAGATGGATATTGATCAGTAGTTTTTAAAGGAGCAAACCTTTTAGTGGTGTTGAAAATGTTCTAATTTGATCTAGGTGGCAGTCACACAGGTGTAACATGTATATACATGTAAAATGAATTGAGCTGTACTGTTATATTTGTATACTCTATGTACCCCAATGAATGTATTTTATACCTCACTTATTTTAAATAATAAAGGAAAAACTTTATGCACAATACTGTACCAAATATCTTAAAAATATGTTGTGCTAAGGAGCAAAAACCTGGTGGCATAGTGGTTAATAGCTATGACTGCTAACCAAAAGGCTAGCAGTTCAAATCCACCAGGTGCTCCTTGGAAACCCTATGGGGCAGTTGTACTCTGTCCTACAGAGTTGCTATGAATCGGAATCAACGCGACAGCAACGGGGTTTTTTTTTTTTTAAGGGGTAAATCCCACTTTTGTCACCAACTGCATGGTAAGGATCAGCATAAATCCAACTCCATAAGGTGGAAATCGATCCAGTCTTCATCTTCCCACTTCACCAACCTCATCACCAGCCAGCCCCAGAGCCCTCTCTCTCTGACCCTAGCCCCACATGGAGCTAGGTCAGAGCTCACATGTTAAAAGAACATCGCCCTTCAGATTGCCAAATAAGCAGATGTCAGCCACAAATTTTGGGAGTCCACGTGACATGCTGGCCACAAATACAGGGCTGGCTTGCCACTACCCCTTCAGGATGCCACCGCAAGCTTGTGAGTCCACATGACACCCTAACTTTCTGACCTGCTGGCTCTCAATGCCCCTTTGGGATTGATAATTCAATGGAATGACTCACATGATTCACGGAGAGTACACCACACACACGACTACAGATTCATTACAACCAGAAAGGAAACAAATGAACAGACAGATAGGGTGAGATCTAGGAGGGTTCCAAACATGGAACTTCCATATTCCAAAGGACGTATACCCTCCTGAGAGCAGATGTTCTCGTGAACCTCAACTCCAGCCTTTGTATTCAGGGTTCTTATCAGTCACTCCCCATGGTCATGATAGATTACATCATGAGTCCTGAGGCTAATCAATATTGTGCCACCAGGTGGTCCCTCTTCGTCTCGTCAGCCTCCACTCATTAGCTCCAGTGTGGTCCGGCTCTCAGTAACCAAAAATAAAGGCCAAATTACTTTTTCCATCTTGAATATGTTATACACCATGTAAGTGTAAAAAATAAAGACAAAATTAAAATATACTCAAATTGTATAGTAGAAAGGTTAAGAGCTTGTACTTTGGAACCAGAATAACATGTTCAAATCTAGGTTTTATCACTTTCTAGCTGTACGACTTCTCTAAGCTCCTGTTTCCTCATTCGGAAAATACAGATAATAATATACCTACATTATAGGATTGATGTGATGACTGAAAGAGACAATGCACATAAAATGGTTGGTACCTAGCAACTGTAAAAAACTGTTTTTATATCCTCATCCCCACAACCACACACATACAAACATGCATATAATGAAATTAAAGATGGTTTTATTTACTGCTTTATACTTTCTGATGTTTTTGAAACATTTTACAACACACAGTCATCAAAGTATTCATTGAGAGTATGATGCTCTATACTGTTCTATAAGCCATACATTTATGTAATTCATAAGTCACAAAGTCCTTAAATGTTTCAATGCCAAACAAAATATTTTTCTTTCGAATTGCATAACATCCAGTACATACTTTGACACCTATACCACACATGCTTCTACTCCTTCCTACCCCCACTTATTTCCTTAATGCTACGTTACAACAAATCTGAGAAAATCTAGCAATTCATTTTCAGCATTTAAATAGTTTTTAATGTGCTTTAGCGATAGTTTTAATCTTTCCTCAGGGCTTGAAAAATCAAAGTTATTCAAGAGGCCTTATGTGTGACCAACGGAACAGAATTGAGAACCCAGAAATAAACCCATCCACTATGGACAGCTGATCTTTGACAAAGGGTTGAAGTTCATTAAATGGGGAAGAGAAAGTCTCTTTAACAAACAGTGTTGGCAAAACTGGATATCCATCTGCAGAAAAATGAAACAAGATCCACACCTCACATCATACACAAAAACTAACGCAAAATGCATCAAAGACCTAAATGTAAAACCTAAAACTATAAAGACCATGGAAGAAAAAATAGGGACGATGGTAGGAGCCCTAATCTATGGCATAAATAGAATACTAAACAGAACTAAAAATGCACAAACAGCAGAGGATAAACCAGGCAACTGAAATCTCCCAAAAATTAAACATTTATGCTCATCAAAAGACTTCATCAAAAGAGTAAAAAGAGAACCTACAGACTGGGAAAAAAATTTTGGCTATGACATACCTAACCAGGGCAGAATCTCTAAAATTTACAGAAAATTTCAACACCTCAACAACAAAAGACAAACAACCCAATTAAAAAATGGGCAAAGGACATGAACAGACATTTCACCAAAGAAGACATTCAGGTGGCTAAAAAATGTATGAAGAGATGCTCGTGATCATTAACCATTATCCACTGACATAGAGTCAATTCCAATTCACAGTGATCCCATAGGGTTTCCAAGGCTGTAACTCTGTGGAAGTGGACTGCCACATTCTTTCTCCTGAAGAGTTGCTGGAGGTTTCAAACTGCCAACCTTTCAGTTAGCAGTCGATCACTTTAACCAATGCACCACCAGGTCTCCTCCATTAGCCATTGTTGTTGCTGTTGTTAGGTGCTGTCGAGTTGGTTCCAACTCATAGTGACCCAATGTACAACTGCAATGAGACACAGCCCCGTTCTCCACCATCCTCATGATCGTTGTTATGCTTAAGTCCACTGTTGCAGCCACTGTGTCAATCCGTCTCATTGAGGGTCTTCCTCTTTTTCACTGACCCTCTACTTTACCAAGCATGATGTCCTTCTCCAGGGAGAAGATGCAAATCAAAACTAAAATGAGATACCATCTCACCCCAGCAATAATGGCACCGATCAAAGAAACAGAAAACTACAAATGCTGGAGAGGTTGTGGGAAGATTGGAACTCTTATACACTGTTGATGGGAATGAAAACAGTACAACCACTATGGAAAACGATATGGTGCTTCCTTAAAAAGCTAGAAACAGGAAGGTTCCAGCAAAATGGCACTCTAGGCAGAAGCACCACGCCGTCCCTCCACAGCAAAGATCCAAAAAACTAAGCCAAACAGAGAACACAATAATCCTGAAACCCTAAAACATCAAATGAAGAGATAAAGAACTCAGCCAAGCACCAAATTGAGTGAGAAAACTGACAGAGAACGGAGAGCGAGGAGAGATTCATGCAGAGGTCCCCTACCAGCTAACGCAGCGCGGATCTGCCATCTTGGACTCCTATCGGAGACCAGCAAACGGGGGTACGAGAAAACAGCCTCACGGAGCGTCCAGCAGGAGACAAACCAACCGGTAATTTGCGCTGTGCGCTTTCCCGCCCCCCACCCCTCTTCGCCCCAGCTCGGCCTCCTCTGCTTCCCGCGGCCACCGTCTCTTGACCGGGAAGGGCCAGCTGCTTGGATTCCACACACCCAAGCGGGCAGCTCTCTGGGTGCCATTTGTTGGCTGCTAGTGTTGCTTTTTTTTTTCTGCTTCTTTTGATTTCTCACTTGCCTCTCGCCACCTCCCCCTCCTTTCACTCAAGTGCCTGGCTCCGTGCGCCACCTTTGCTTCTTCCTGAGGGGCTGCAGAGCGCCGGCAATTTGTGATGAACGCTTTCCCACTCTCCACCCTTCTTCACCCACACTCGGCCTAATCTGCTTCCCGCGGACACAGTCTCTTGTCCAGAAACACCAGCCCGCACTGGCTTGCTCTCTGAGTGCCATTTCTTGGCTGCTGGTATTGCTTTTATTTTTTTTTCTGCTTCTTTTGATTTCTTGCTTGACTCTCGCCGCCTCCCCCTCCTTTCGCTCGAGTGCCTGGCTCCGTGCGCCATCTTTGCTTCTTCCTGAGGGGATGCGGAGCTCCATTCAAGCGTGGAGCTGCTTCCGGGTCTGGGCTACCGCACTGGTGGGATCCCGGGGTTTTTGTTCGTTTGTTCCTCTGCTTCCCACAGTCACGGTCTCTTCACCGGGAAGCGCCGGCTGCTTCGATTCCACACACCCAAGCGGGCCGTTCTCTGGGTGCCATTTGTTGGCTGCTAGTGTTGCTTTTTTTTTCTGCTTCTTTTGATTTCTCACTTGCCTCTCGCCACCTACCCCTCCTTTCACTCGAGTGCCTGGCTCCGTGCGCCATCTTTGCTTCTTCCTGAGGGGCTCCAGAGCGCCGGCAATTTGTGATACACGCTTTCCCACTCTCTACCCTTCTTCACCCACACTCGGCCTCCTCTGCTTCCTGCAGGCACAGTCTCTTGTCCAGAAATACCACCCACACTAGCTGGCTCTCTGAGTGCCATTTGTTGGCTGCTGGTGTTTTTTTTTTTTTTCTTCTATTTTTTCCTGCTTCTTTTGATTTCTTGCTTGCCTCTTGCCACCTCCCCCTCCTTTTGCTCAAGTGCCTGGCTCCGTGCGCCATCTTTGCTTCTTCCTGAGGGGCTGCGGACCTCCATTCGAGTGTGGAGCTGCTTCCCGGTCTGGTCTACCGTGCTGGTGGGATCCCGGGGCTTTGGCTCGTTTGTTCATTTTGAATTCTTTGTTTGTTTTTTTTTCCTTTTCTTGAGTTGGGAGCCCTTTCTGGCCAGGCGGAGATGTGTGGCAAGGAACTCCCCTTCAGCTTCCACAGATGTGCAGAGCGATC